AAACATCGTGCGTAGAGATATCATTTCTAATCCCCAACTTATTCACGACAAAATGACAAAATTAAAGTTAGATCTTCCTTTAATTAAGAGCAGCACAAAACATACTTTGATTGGTAATTAGTTCGTGTTTTTATACGATAATTTGAGCTCTAAAGACAACCGAGTGCCTCGACAAGTCTACATCTCGTACGCTGTTACCTCGGCTCGGTGTTTTCCAATTTCTTCTTCAAGAGCTGATTTACAAGAAAGGTTAGCTTGATTTTCAATGACCTCTCCTACTTTTTTCTCCTGCTTTTTGACTGAAAACGACCACACTTTGACCGAAAAGGTGCCATTCAACGAAACATTTGATAAACATTAGCCGGGAACATTAGTTACCAGACCACTTGGCCGAACAAGTGACATGCGCGCGTGCGATGCGCAGTGGCAAAGGTCCGGTACTACCTTAATAGATATCGAACACGTTGCCTGTCTGTTGGTCTGTATAATACACAGGAAACCCATGAATCGCGAGTTAATGAAAGCGAAATCGATATTTTGCCTTCATTTCGTCCAAATCCATAATATTAATAAAATCAATTAAGTGAAAGGAATGAAAGGCCGAAGAGAGAGAGAGAGAAAGAGAGAGAGAACAACAACAACAACTCTAATATGAGATTTGTTGTTACAATGTTAGCTACAGATTGTTGGTAACGTCAGTGGATATTTCGCTGCAATTGATGACGTCAGTTTTATTGAAACTTCATGTTTGCAAGTTACAAACCAGAGTACGTACGGTATTGCTATGTCATTTTATAGAATAAAAATGTTAATTCTGTTTATTGAATTAATCCGTGAATGATAACGTAAAGATTATAATAAGACAAGACAGTTAGTTTTAATTATGTCGTCTGTATTTGCAGCTAATCCCTCATGCTATTTTGATTTTGATCAACCCTGCCACCACGACAGCCTATGGAGTCGACAAACAATTGAACTACACGGTACGGAACATAGAATTKGCGTTAATGCTACGTCAAGAGTTGAAAGGATTTTGTCACTATTTAGACTCGAGAATGCAACTTTAGGCCAGTGGCAGTGCGCAATTTGCAAGTTTTCCCACACGCTTGGAAGAGAAATGTAAAGTGTACCGTGTTTTGGATTGATTTTTAACGTCTATCTCATTTTATTGAAGGTGAAAAGAACTCTTACTTAAACTTGGCGCCTTCAAACAATCTAGCGACCGGCAAGATATTAAGCCCAGTGCTCAGACCAAAAGCTGATGGATGGAAATGTTTGCGATTGTGGATAAACAGCAGAGATAGTGCAGTTTCTTTGAATATTYTTTATAACATTCATAACAATTCGAGGGATATTTTCAACTATACATCACACACACCAGGCTGGGTTTACTTTCAGTCACCAATACCAGAAGAGTTAAACACTTTACAGGTAAAATAGATCTTAAATTATAGTTATTGTACCCTAATTATGGATTATACGTTTTAACATAATAGAAATGAATATATTGCAAACCCATCAACCGCCCAAATCATTTTCTATGGATTATATATCAGTCCTGTATTGTCGACTGTTACTTTGTTTGCAAATATTGTATCTGACAATGATAAGTAGTTCTATATGTTTAATCGTGTATGTACTAATAACTGATTTATCGATCGATCATTTAAGGTTGTAATTGAAGGGAATAGAAGCGAACCATATGGCTCTCTTTCAATAGACGATATAACATACTCAAAGCATCAATGTAAAAGCATTCCTTTGGGTAAGTAACAACGAATGATTGAAATTGAAGCAAGGAATATGTTTAAAAACACGAATTCACCAAATCAGAAGTACAATGACAAAAATATCCTGTTCCTATGAGATCTAAACTTTAATCTGTAATGTCCTATAGATATCAAGTCGGGCCGTAAAGAGTGCCTTGAATATAGAACTTGGGACTTACCCACTTGTAGAAAGGACCGAGTTACATCTGCAGCGATAGACGACTGCAACTGGAAACTTCCAAATACTCTATGGTATCGCATATCTCGATTGGCGGGAATCCAAGTGTCCACAGAGTGTTCTCGACATACAGGCAAAGGGTATGGCTGGATCAATGGGACTATGCCCGCCGTGGTCGAGGGTCGAGTTTTAAGGACAATGTGCATAGGGAATGTATATATGGGATGCTGCTGCTTGTTTAAGCAAAATGTCACTATACGTAATTGTGGTGGATACTTTGTTTATCACTTTCCCAAAGTCAAATCTTCATTTTCAGTATCTACAGAATACAGTAAGTGTTTCTTAGGATCTCTGAGTATATCAAGAGATCTAAATCGCCAAGGCAATTTCGACATCATCTTGTACTATTTTCTTGTGCAGAAAGCTCTTGAATGTATCAGGTTATCAAAAGATTGACACCTTTGTTGATTGATTGAATGACACCTTCATTGATTGATTGATTGATTGATTGACACCTTCATTGATTGATTGATTGATTTTCTTGTGCAGAAAGCTATTAAATGTATCAGGTTATCAAAAGATTGACACCTTTGTTGATTGATTGAATGACACCTTCACTGATTGAATTGATTGATTGATTGAATGACATGATTGATTCATTGTTTGAGTGCCATCATTTGATTGATAGATGGATTACTTTAATTCGTTTGAATAGGTGCCCGGAAACTTACACTTGATGTGGAATGGCGAGGTTGGACAAATAATGGGCCAGGATTAAATTGGGAAATTATGAGTAACAAACAGTTTATCTCCATTTCAAAATCCACTCATCGACAGCAAGGTATKMCTTTGCAGTTTTGATGTGTCCTTTGACATATCGTTGAAACAAAATATTAAAACCTTAACACTTAGTATCTTTTTTTTGTAATTCAGACATTCGTTTCATGCACATATTTAATAGCTTGCGTACATGAAATTCGAAGTAGATTCACTTTAGTATTAACATTATTGTTTTTTTTGTTCTTATTAGAGCATCCCTTTATTGGTTCGCAGCCTGGTATCGATGTTAATAGTCCTATCTCTTTCACTTTCCAAATTGAACTACATATCGAGTCATTTACCGTGTGTTTTTGGATATCTTCTAATGAAACTACGCCGAATTTTGTGAACATTACCTTTAAGGACATCTCTGCGATATCCCTGGATGTATTAATTAACCGGTAAGTATTATGCTTTGAATGAAATAGGTAACATATCACAATATTCACGCTTAGACATCATTAGAGCGTTTATATTTCAATGGCTTACTAAGTAATAATAGGGAAACTAATGGGGGGATCCAGGGGCGGATCCGGGGAGGTGCTTTGCTTTCTATATCAGTATAAACGTTTTTTTTCTGCTGTTTATACTCCTGTTGTAGTTCTATCGAGAAAACGAGTAACATACACAACATGTGTCTGCCACTATGCTGCTTAACAATCTATTTGAGTAGTGATACTTTGTAAAGATACTTTGCAATAAAAGTCAATTTACTTCCGGTTAAATTGTGCATAATTTTCTTGCTGTAGGCAATACACAGCTAACAAAAATGATCAGTTACATCTGCTATACTTAGTTTTTAGCTATATATGTCAAAAGTATTCATTCAGTCTATATCGTAATTTACCCACACATTTCAAAAATATTATTGTAGCGTGTCCTCATGTTGCCTTTGTTGGGTGTTATTCTAATTGTCAGTAATTCTCAGAGTTTAGCGTCAAGTTCCCCTCTTCTACCAATTTTTTTCTAAGCAAAGTCACTCAGACCAGATCTATGGCCTAAATTGCAATCGGCATTACTGAATTACTGATTGCTTTACAGGTATGTTTGGAGGCATGTCTGTGTAGCTTCCCCGGAATGTGGTATATACGTGATTTATGTAGATGGAGTTGCGAACAAGACAACGTACACAGGAGATCTGTTTAGAAGTAAGGCTGAATAYATTCCTCCCTATATTACGAACTGTTTTAAAATATCTAGTTGCCTTACGTGAAATCAGTGAACATAATTGCACAAAATATGCGTTCTTCTCTGTCTTCGGTGTGCCATTTTTAATACAGTTTGACTCTGAGCTTTGTTGCACGGTTTAATGAAAACTGCTCAAAAGAACCCAAACGCGTAGCTAACATTTATGCAATACTACGATTTTAGCTAGCTCATCAACATATGTCTATAATTGATTTCTCTACGAATTTGACAGTCTAAATGCTCTGGCAACTCACCGAATAATTCATATTTTATTCTTTATGTCAAAGTTAATGAAGAAATAAAGGTTTTCATTACATCATCTGAAGATATCTCTCTCAAGCTAACCAGTATAAACGCCTGTAACAAGCTTCTCAGCGACGAAACTATTCTCTATATGTCTTATGATTGTAGAAGTAGCACAGGAAATATTGTTGCTTGGGATGAGTTTTTTACTAATATTACAAGTTCAAACTATTCAGTCATCAAGAATATCACAACCTCCTGCTACGGAAGAAAAGGTATACATTCATCTATCATGTTTTGAATGATATAGTGACAGTTTTTATGGATTTTCAGTGGATGCGATAAAAGTATAGGCAAGCTTTAGAAACCCTAATGTGTGAATTCAGGAAAGGGAAAATTGTCAGTAACTCTGCGTTCACTGCCAGAATTTCAGTCCAATTCATGGGGGTTGCACATGCTGTAATGGCGGACGATAGGAAATTACTGATTTTATAAAAAATGTTTGGTTGATTTTAGCTGCCAGGACRTTGTATGAATATGGAATATRTTTTTTTGTGTTTCAGGAAACGTTCTTAGCATAATATCCAACGCGACTACACCCTCCTCAGCAAAAGCAACGTACCTGAGCCCACCGTACCCTATACTACCTAAATTCGTGAAATCACCTGCAAGATGCCTACGATTTCAATATCGTCTGTTCGGCCCTGGGGCGAAAGTACTGAAACTATATCAAGTATYAGAAAACAAAATGTTCCCATGGAGACCAATTTGGATGAATGAAGATAACAGTTCAAGTAGTTGGCAGGAAGGTCGGGTTACTCTTGCGGCTGTGACTGAATATCAGGTACTTAGACTTTCAAATATTCTATTCTTTCTTCTGACTCACTTCTTTATTCAGTTTGCTTATTTTTTCGTGTGTGAAAACTATTAAGCTTAGGGATAATTTTAATTAACGACAAACATGATAGCACCTCTGAAAACCAATCATATTACACCTTTTACATTACAACTTTTTAACTTCGAAGGACTGTTAATTAAAAAAGTACTCCAATAACGAGAAATTGAAAGTGTAGCAGGTCTGTCACGGTTATTGATGGCACTGTGAAAATTGTAAAGGTTATSTATTTAATGAGTACATAAAAAAGTAAAAATTCTATTTAAAAGCTGAAAATTTCTGGGGGGGAGGGGGGGGGGGAATTCCCACACCCGGACCCCCCGATTCCGCCCTCCATGTGCAAGAAATATTAATGAACTATAACTCTTTTAATGACTCTTAATGAATGTCTCCAGATAGCCATCGAGGGGCAAATGTCCAATGCACAAGGACTAATATCAATAGGGGCCTTGCATACAACCGAAGAGTATTGTGCAATTYTACCWCGTTCGTCAAATAAAGGTWAATCTTTGTTCATACATATTTAGTGTAATTAACGTAATATCATTGCTATATCTGTAAATTAGTAAATATATCTGCTGAATATAGTCAGTTATATTTGTCGGCTACTTCTCGACCAGGCTTGGCAATATAAAGGTAATGGTAATAGTAATAAAGGTTATAATCGACCACATGGCAAGATTACATGAAATAGATGTAGTGGAAAGTTATAGTGATTAGAAAGGAGGTTATTCCAGGCGAAAGACGGCCTTGAAAATATATTTGGAAATTTCGAAGATTGTGGGTTCGTATCCCAGTTATATATCATCTTAGTGCTGATAATTTGTATTTCCTATACTATACGCATACGAGCAAAGTATGGAAACTAGCTCTAAGATAATACATATAGCTTATAGTTATAGTATAAATGGTCTTGTTTAAAGAGAGTGTAATATTGTAATATAAGCGGACCTTTTCAATGTGCAACTATTCCTAATTTTCAGGCTGCAACGAAGTCCTTCGCAACTTGTCTGGTATCATCATGTCTCCCTGCTATCCTAGTTTCTATAGCAACAACACTATATGCAATTCGACCATCATAGCGAAGCAAGGCTACGTGATTCGTTTAGAGATTACTGAATTTGAACTGGAAAAAAGCACCCGATGTGAGAATGACTTTGTTGATGTGTATGATRGTGGTGATCAAATTGGTCGCTATTGTGGTACAAGGTGAGGCTAGAAAATCAATGCAAAAGTTGAATTCTATAAGCGGGGATAAATTTAATACCGCTTGATTTATCT